ATATCCCAGTGCTGGGAGCTCCTGCAGTGGGGGCTAAGGGCACAGAGCACTTGGATCTTCAGAGAAGTTTGATACCACAGCCAGCATTAGAGATGTGGCGTTAATTTGGTGCCTGGCTCATGGGGAAAGCTGGACATGTGCTAAGAAATAACTGGGAATTTGTGTCCCAGTTTGGCTTTGTGGCTGCTGGACCAAAAGCCCAGCTGGGCTTGGCACAGCAAACTGGAAGGGGTGAGCTGGAATTTTTCCTTTCCTAGATAAAAGGGATCATAAACCAGACTAAATTCTGGGATTGGGACACTCTGGGGTTGTTTTTTATGCTACACCTTGGCTTCTTGTGAGGTATTCACAGGTTTTTCTTTTCCCTTGAGCTGTGCAGGAGCACCTGATGGTTCCTCTCCTGTTGCTGAGCCCCGGGATTCCTCTCACACCCTGCACTTGGAGCAGATGCTGTTTAAATGTTCCAGGAGGAGCTGTTGGCAAATGGGGGATGACAGGTTGCAGAAACAGGATAAAATAGCAGGAGTTTCCAAGGAAAGCTTGGAGAGGCAGGAAAGGAAAGGGGGACAGTCTGGAGAGGAGCTGTGCCAGGCTTGACTGGGTTGTGAGACCCCCGTGGAGGTGCAGACTGTGCAGGGCAAGGCTGGCAGATTTTCCTGGTTCCTGGAGGGCTGGAGCAGGAAATTCTGTCTTGCTCTGCCCTCATTCCACCCTGAATCCTTGGATTGCTTGGGGAGGAGCTGCTCAGCTGCCTTGCAGAGAGCTCCATGTCCATGGACATCCAGCTCCCGTGGAGATTTCCCAGGGTACAGCGTTCAAATGGAGTGAAGCAAATATAAAATGTATGGAATCAGAGACTCCCAGAATGGTCTGGCTTGAAAGGGACCTTAAAAATCATCTCATTCCACCCCTGCCATGGGCAGGGGTAGCTTCCACTAGCCCAGGTTGTTCCAAGTCTCATCCATACTGGCCTTGGGCACTTCCAGGGATCCAGGGGCAGCCACAGCTGCTCTGGGCACTGTGCCAGGGCCTGCCCACCCTCCCAGGGAAGGATTTCTTCCCAAAATCCCATCTAACCCTATTCCCTTTCAGTCTGAAGCCATTCCCCCTGTCCTGTCACTGCTGTTCCTGCTGATTTGCAAAACCACTTAGTGTAGAGCACTAAGACAATCCACAGGGAATTTGTTTTCCTCTTCATCCTCTCCTTGACCCTTTAGGAAATGTCCCCTGGGAGCCATTTCAAGCTCCTGCCGTGACTCTGTGGCAGCAATCCATTCCCATTGACTGGAAAGGGAATTCTGACTTTCTCATCAGCTCTCCACCCGGTGCAATGGCTGTCCTTGAGCCTGGGATTAATTAGGACTAATGACCAAAAACATCATCATCAGGCTTCCACCTCTCTGAGGACTGTCCTGAACCAAAAGAAGGGAATGTAAAGGAGAGGATTCCCGCTGGGAAGTTGTTAACAGGGCTGTGCATCCCTGGCTTTGTGGGATGTGGCTGATCCATCCTGCTGAATCCAAGATTCCCACAGGTGACCAGGCGCCGCTCAGGACCAGAGGCTGCAAGGTTTCCTCAGCCAACTTCTGTTTTCAGTATTAAGCTTTGCCTTGTGAACCTTGAGGAATTCAGCTCCCAGGGCAGAGGAAATGTTGGAAGGGGTCAGGCGAGCTGTGCTCCGTCCATGTCACTGGGAGCAGCCAGCAGCATTCCAGGACAACATCTGATTTTGTGCTTTTACGAGGCAGATGTTTGGGAGAAGGGCTGTGCTGTTTATTCCAGCTGCCATCTCCCAACCCCGCTCCCTCTGCGCGCGCTCCTGCCTGGAGCCCATAAATAAAGATTCTTGGGATTATGCCACCGTTTGGGCTGCCCTGCCTCCCATCAGGGCCTGGACAAGCTGCAAACCCCGCTCCCCCTGCACCTCGCTTTTACAGGGGAATAAATCAGGGAGGGCTAAATCCTCTCTCAGTGACACGAGGATAAACGCGGGATGGCCGCGCTGACGTCTGCGCCGTGCTGGAATTGAGAAGGGGAGTTTGATTCCTTTATTTCGGAGTCGTGCTGCTGATTTACTGCAAAGGAGCTCGGGCTCAGCGTGTCCTGGGACTGAGCAGCAAGGCAGGGCTTGCTCTGGGATGCCGGGCTGATGGCAGAGCAATTCCATGGATTTTGCTGGAACTGATTCACAGAATTCACAGAATCACACGCAATCACAGAATTCACAGAATTCACAGAATCACACACAGTCACAGAATCACAGAATTCACAGAATTCACAGAATCACACACAATCACAGAATTCACAGAATTCTCAGAAGCACACACAGTCACAGAATTCACAGAATCACTGGGTTGGAAGAGACCTTCAAAACCATGGAGTCCAACCCAGCCCCAACAGCTCAACTAAACCCTGGCACCCAGAGCCACATCCAGGCTTTGTTAAACACACCCAGGGATGGTGACTGCACCACCTCCCTGGGCAGCCATTCCAGAACTTTATCACCCTTTCCACAATAGTTGAGGGAAATGAGTTGCAGCTTCAGCACAGTTTGGGCCTCAAAGAGCTCCTCAATGAAAGGAAGGATAAATCCTGTGTAAAATGATTATTCCCATTGGCTGACCCTCTTCCAGGAGAGCCCCACAGGGATGAATCCCACCCTTTGGTGTTGGGATGGTGATGGAGAGCAAGGCAGCGGTGCCCTCACACCCTGGTGCCACCAGCAGATATCCACGGAGGCACTGGAGATCCCAGTGGAGGAGCTGCCCCTGGAAAAGGTGACAAGAGCTGGTCTGGAGGGGTGGGAATGCTGCTCTTGGCTGCACTTTCCTTCTCCAAGAGGACCCAAGAAGTTGTTGAAGGCAGCAATCAGGGTGTTAATCCTCACTTGTTTTTCTAGGTTTCCTGACTTATTTTTAAAGGACTGGAAGTGAAGGAATGTAAAAGAGGTGCTGGCCCCTCTCTGCCATGGCTCCAGCCCGCAGCCTGTGGGTTTAAGCTCTCTGTGGATATTCCCTCTTGGATATTAATAGTGATAATTACGGATATGAAGTGGATATTTCCTCTTGAAGCTGTAGGGCTCCCCAAACAGCTCTAAAGAGACTTTGCAAAAGAGTGTCTGGAATTCTGCTGGCTGCTTTTAGGGAAGCTAGAGAGCCCAGTGGCCACCTCAGGGCCTGCCAGCCTGGTCCCATAAATACCACTGGACACAGGGTGATTTACACCCCTCTGCTGGTGGCACCTGGCCAACTCTTAATTGCTCATAAGTGACTTTTTTAATGGCCCAGAGTGGTTTGGGTCACCCAGGGCGAGAGGCAGTCGTGTGTGGCACAGCTGCTTTCAAGGTCCAGAAGCAGTGGGTGACCTGGGTGACCTGAGGGTGACCTCAGGCTGGACCTGGGACCTTCTGAGAGTCACCTGGAGGAGCCTCTCTCAGCTGGAAGGTGCCCATGGAGGTGCAGTGAGAGGTAACAGGACATTGTCCCAATTTTCCCACCCATTTGGTTCTCACTGAATGACTCTGCTCATGGTGGAGTTTGCCAGGAGGGAAACCAAACTGGGATTATTGCCATGGAAACTGGAGATTGGGTGGGAAGCTGATCCAATGGGGCAGCAGGATGAGGGCTTTGCACTTCTGTGTCCTGTCAGACTGTATGGCTTGGATGTGGAACACCACAAAGTCACTATTGTGATCATCTTGTGTAAGATATCCAGAAACATCGACTTCCTTTGTTTTCCTGGGAAAAGCCAAACCAGGATCTCAGCCCTGGAGGGATGGGGGTGATGAGCAGCACCACCACAATGAGCAAAACTCTCTAATTACAACAGCAGCAATCAAACCCCAGTGGTGAGGGATGCAGAGCTGGACACGGAGCCTTGCTGAGCTCTGTGGCTCCATTTCCTGAACACAGAAATGGAATTATTTTGGAGTATCCCCTTTTCCTTCCCACTTGAACCCCACAGGTGGCTCTGCCCTGGGAGCTCTGGGAAGGGTTCAGGTTTCCTTGGAAGCTGACAAGCACCATCTATAGGATTGCTGCAGAAGAAGCCTCGGGCTCCCAGCTGATCAAAAAGGGCAGAGGAGCTTCACTCCGAGTTTCCAGATTTGTTCTGGAAAAACTCCAGCGTGCTCAGCATTCCACAGTGCTCAAAGTCACAGCTTGCCTCATCCATCCCTCATGGCTGGGGGGATTGTCCACCCTGGACAATCCGCTGCTCCTTGGTCCCCTGGGGGATTGCTGCCTGTGGAAATTGCTGGAATTGCAGAGCTGGGATTATTTCACACAGGGATTTTCTAAAGAGCTCATGATCTGCAAGATTTCCACTTTTCCTCGGGAATTGTAGGGACAGGACAAGGGGGAACAGCTTCAAATCAACAGAGGTGGAATGTTGGGAAGAAATTCTTCCCTGAGAGGGTGGAGAGGCCCTGGCACAGATTGGGAATGAAGAAGGAAGGGAAGAAGGGAGCAAGGAAGGAAGGAAGGAGGGATAAACACACTTGGCAGGGCAGATGGAGTACAAAAAATGTTTTTAAAGAGATGCTGGCAAGGGACTCTGGTGCAAGTCATCCCTGTCACGTTGGAACTTCATCCTTGATTTGCACAAGAAATACAACTCCAGTTTGGATACCCAGAATTCTTCTGAGAGAGGCATTGTGTTCCCAAAGAACAGATATGGGGGTTTTTTTCCCTCTCTGCAGATCCTTTTTGGCTTTAAAGCTGTTTTCTTCTCCTACACACACAGATGATAATCTTTTACATGCCCTTATTAAAAAATATCACTTCCAGAAAATAAAAACACTGGCATATTCTGTACTTGTTCCTTTCTCTATCTCTGAATTAATTTCCCATTTTTTCATCTGACCTGTCAGTCATTTCATATCTCCACAATCAAGGAAAGAGGTTTAATCTCTCTCCTGGCTTTGGCATCTGAATCCCTCCTCTATCCCAACCTCTCCATGCTAAATTAACGCTCTTTTCCTTTCTCTTTGTTCCCCACAGAGATCCCTGGATGTCCAGGAATGGTGGAGAGCTGAATGAGCCAGCCTCTGTTCCTCACCACCCTGAGCTCGTGAGGGCTCTGCAGAGATGGAGTGGGAGCACGGCCTCGCTTCCCTGAGCCAGGGCACGCTGTGGGAAGTGACTGCCCTGGCTAAGGTCCTCATCCCAACCCATCACCCACCACGCAGCACCTCCAGGAGAAGCCGGGCAAGGACAACCAAGGGACCAGGAGAGGCTCTGAGAGCCTTGGAGGACACCAGGAAGCCACAGGAACTGAAGGAGGGGATGTCCAAAGCATGACAAATGGTGCCGAGGGTTTTTTTCCCTTGGAAAAGCCTTTCCAAAAGGGAGCAGCAGGGTCTCCAGCTGGTTTTGGAAGAGGCACAGCCAGGTCAGGAGCCCAGCAGGACGTGCTGATGGCAGCCTGTCCACCTGCTGGGTGGGGATCCAGGGGAAACAAGAATCTGTCCAAGACCAAGAGAGAGGAGCGTGGAAGATTCCTCTGATTTATTCTGTGCTTGTTTCTCCTTCTGGTGTCTTCTCTGTCTACCTCTTCTCCTCTAGAGAGCACGGGGGCCCTGAGTGTCACCAAGGAGCAGAAGGATTGGCACAGGGCAGGAATGGGGCCTTTGTTCTCTCCTTGCTCCAAAAAAATCTCCAACTGTCCTGCCTTGGAAAGGCTGGGACCTGGCAATCCTTTTCCTTGCAGGAAGTCACATTTCAGCAGGACCAGCCACCCTTGGGAGCCAAGATTTCCCACCTGAGGCTCAGAACATGGCAGGACATCCATCCCTCTCCTGCAGCTGTGGGAAGGAGCAAACCGAGCTCCTGACTTTGGATTGTGGAAAACTCACTGAGCAGAGAAAGAGATGGAGGGACTTGTGGCCTCAGGCAGAAAACAGCAGGAAAAACTGGCTGAAAACCATAAAAAACCTTGAAGTGGCAGGTGCTGGCCCAGCTGCAGCTCTGTGGTCACTGAGCTGCTCCCAGACCTGGGCAGGACGTGCTGGTACTGAACTGTGGGAGCCCCATCTCAGACCTTCCCTCTCGGGCTTCCAGCTGCAGAACCTTTTCCCTCCAGTGCAATCCTATTTATTTATTTATTATCTCGCTGCTTGATGTGAAGCTGCTAAAGGAGCCCCCTCCCCACAAACAGCCAGCCTGTGTGAGGGCACTGAGCAGAGGGGCAGGACACAGGGACAACTCCTGGTGCAGGTGTCCTGCTGTGCTGGGGGGGTTGGACTTGGTGGGTTTTGAGGTTCTTTCCAAGCAAACCCACCCTGTGGTTCAGTAAGATCTGAAAAGGATGTCCCATCCCTGGAGGTGTCCAAGGATGGGTGGATGGAGCTCTGAGCACCCTGGAGTGGTGGAAGGTGTCCCTGCCCATGGCAAGGGGTGGAGCTGGGTGAGCTTTAAGGTCCTTCCACTCTAGGATTCAATGGACAGGGGTTGGGCACACAAGGGAAGAAGAAAACTGAGACCAGGAATGCTGGTCTCAATGCAATTTGGATCTTTCAAGGACTAAGAGCATTTCATTCCCACCCCAGCTGGAAATAAATCTTCAGCTGGGCAGAGCTTTGCTGGGAAGGACAGAGGCTGCAGGAGCTCAGCAGTGCCCCTCTATCCTGACTTTCTTTGTGCAGGGCCATGAGAATTGCTCACCTGGGGGGCTCTCAGGTGCCCTGCTGCTCTCCCACAGCTTTCAGGATACCCTGAAATCCCTTGGCACAGCTCCCAGCTGCCCTAGGAGAATCTGATTTGTCCCTTCCCTCTGAAGAGCCCTGCCAAGGCTTAGTCCAAACCTGCTGAAGGAAGATATTTCCCACCCAAAACCTGTTCCTCAGAAGACTCCTGGCTGGCTCCAGTCCCTTATTCTGTACTGGAAACATAGTCCTTGGTCTGTTTGCAGGTTAGGGACATGCCTGGGGTTGTGGCAGTTCTCTTTCTCCCCAGTCCCTGATGTGCCAGAGCAGGTACAGGAGAGGAAGGGATGAACTTCAATCATTTGCCAGCCCAAAGGCAGGGACCTGCCTTACAGAGCTGTCCAAATCCATCTGCCTGCCCCTTCAGGCTTGCTCCAGGGATTCCATCCTCTGCTGGATCTATTTCTGAGTGCCCTGACCCCGGGGTTATTGTGCTGTCCCCTGGGAGGTGGCTCCGTGCTCCACAGCAGGAGCTGCTGGGAGTTTCCCACCTGCGTTTGCTCCTGGAAACTTCATTCCATTTCCCCTCGTGCTGCTCCTCAAGCACCTGCTGTTCATGTTCTCCTGCCACCTCACCAGGGCTCCTCTTCCCCTTCCAAGACCCTCCCTGGCTCCCTGATTGCTGCTGTTCCCTGTGCTGAGCTGGTCATTAATGAGAATCCAAACCCAGCCCTGGAGCAGCCCCTGGCAGTGCCCAGCTGCTGTGCCAGGTCATTAAAATGAGAATCCAAACCCTGGCAGTGCCCAGCTGCTGTGCCAGGTCATTAAAATGAGAATCCAAACCCTGGCAGTGCCCAGCTGCTGTTCCAGGTCATTAATGAGAATCCAAACCCTGGCAGTGCCCAGCTGCTGTGCCAGGTCATTAAAATGAGAATCCAAACCCTGGCAGTGCCCAGCTGCTGCTCCCTCCCTCGTTTGGGGTGCAGGGAAGGGGCAAACGGAGCCAAAAGGGATCAGTGTTGACACTGAGCACTCGTATCCCAAAATATCAGGAAGAAATCCTTCCCTGTGAGGGTGGGGAGGCCCTGGAATGGATTTCCCAGAAAAGCTGTGGCTGCCCCATCCCTGGAAGTGCCCAAGGCCAGGTTGAACAGGGCTTGGAGCCACATGGGATAGTGGAAAGTGTCCCTGCCCATGGCAGGGGTGGGAATTAAATGATCTTTAATGAATTAAACAATCTTTAATGAATTAAATTATCTTTAATGTCCCTCCCAACCAAAACCATTCCAGGACTCTGTGATCCCATGGGGAGCAATCCCTGGTAGGGACAAGTGCTGGGCCAAGGCCCAGCTCAGCAAAGCCCAGCCTGAGCTCTGGCAGTGGGGATGCTCCAGTTTTCCCACTGGGAATGGGAACTGTGCTCTGCCCTGCCTGGGAATGCCCTCCACGGGCTGGAGCTGCAGCCCTGCATGGCAGGAGAGCTGCAGGGGCTGGGGGCACACGGGGGGCTGCCCTGGGGAGCTCTGGGTGCAGCTGGAGGCTCCCAGCTCTGCTCCTGTCACCGAACAAACTGTTCCCACTAATAAAGAATGGAAAGTGCTGCTCTTCCCACTCTTCTTTTTCCTAGCTGGCACCAGAGGGATGGGCTGCCCCTGGCTGGTGGGAACACAGAAATGCCAGGGCACTTTGGGAGGGGCTGTGGCAGCCGAGGGAGAGGCTGGATGCAGTCAGGAAAACCGGGGGGACTCAAACACAGAGTGCAGGGGCAGGGATTGCTGCTGCTGGGGGGTGATGGGTGCCAAAAACTCCAGCTGGGAATGGGCTGTGGGACCAGGCTGGAGTGGAGCTGGGCGCTGGGTGTGGGGCTGCAGGAGGAGGAGGCACCAAACACACCGAGGAGGAGGAGGAGGAGAAAAGAGGGTGAAGGGCGATGAAGAAGGTGCTGAGCATCCCAAGGGTTTCACAGGGTGACAGCAGAGGAGTCTGGAGTCTGCTGTGGCACTGTGCTGTCCCCTGGGCTGGTTCTTCACCCACATCTCAGATCAGCTCCTTAATTCCTGCTCCCCACCCCTGCTGTTCTCCCTGCTGACCCAGGGCAGGGTGGCAGTGACAGCATTGCAGCTTCTCAGGAGCATTTGGCAGGGGGAAAAATCGGTCCCCAAACAAGGAAAGAATCAAAATGACACATTTCCAGCTGAATTACTGACGAGACAATTAATCATCCCCATTAAAACCAGTGGAGAACCCGGAGAGCCCTAATCCATAAAGATGCTCCAGGCAGCAGCACCCTGGGGCTTCACACTGCTCTGGCAGGAGCTGCAGGCAGCACTGCCAGGAGAATTTGGGAATTTTATCACAGGCCAGCCTGAAAAGGAGAATTTGGGAATTTTTTCACAGACCAGCCTGAAAAGGAGAATTTGGGAATTTTATCACAGGCCAGCCTGAAAAGGAGAATTTGGGAATTTTATCACAGGCCAGCCTGAAAAAGAGAATTTGGGAATTTTATCACAGGCCAGCCTGAAAAGGAGAATTTGGGAATTTTATCACAGGCCAGCCTGAAAAAGAGAATTTGGGAATTTTATCACAGGCCAGCCTGAAAAGGAGAATTTGGGAATTTTTTCACAGACCAGCCTGAAAAGGAGAATTTGGGAATTTTATCACAGGCCAGCCTGAAAAGGAGAATTTGGGAATTTTATCACAGGCCAGCCTGAAAAACTGCACAGATCCCTGTGGAGTCACCTCCTGCTTTTCAGTGCCACTGAGCACTAAAATGCTCATCCCTGCTGTCTGTGGGCATTCCCAAAGTCGCCTTGTGTGCCACCCACCCACCTCAGAGCCTTGCCCACCCTCTGCAGGCATGGATGGATTTCCTCCAGGATGGATTTTCTCCATCTCCCAAACTTTCCATCTGGATTTGCAGAGCTCTGGGCTCAGCCCTGGCTTTTTGGAGAAGTGTGAGCCTTCACAACTCCACAACTCCAGAGAGCCCAGCAAGCATCCAGACATCTTCCTAAAGTTCCTAAAGCTTGAGAGCAAAGGGCTGTGAGGAGATGACTGCAGCCCATCGCTGCTATAAACCCTCTCTTCATCCTTTCATGGTCCGAGGTATGGACGTGAATTATGGCAGCTTTAAACCTCCTGAGAGCAGCTTTCTTAAGCGGCTGCTAAAGAGCATTGTTAAGCCGAGGTGTCAGCGCCAGCTGCCTGAATGAGGCTGTTTTACGAGGCACTTTAATCCTTCCAGGAATCCAGCGACCCCTTTTCCACCCACAGATCCACTCCTGGCTCTTGTTCTCTGTCCTGTTCGTTCCTCGAGGCTCTGGCGCCGTCACCCCTGGCAGCCCCATCGTTTCCAGATGCAAACAGATTCCTAAAAACCCCACATCTGCCTGGATTTGGGGCTGCCTGGCAAGCTGCAGAGAAAGCAGGGGCTTCTCTTGTGACTGCTGCAATTTTTGAGGTCATTTTGTCAGCAGGGCTGCCAGCCCCAGCAATCCCTGTGTGATGCCTTCCTGGGGTGCCCTGTGGCTTCTTGGGGGTGGATTTTGTTGGAGGATGGAGGGGCTGTGCCCTCAAAGAGCCACGGCCACCCCAGGCACAGCCACATCCCTTTGGGATGGCCCTTCATGGCTCAGCATCCTTTTAAAATCCTGCTTTAAAATAAGCAGCAGGTGCTTTCCTTGCCTTCCTTATTTCTCTTCTGGAGGTTGTGTCCCTTTCCCTGCCTTCCTTATTTCCCTTCTGGATGTTTTATCCCTTTCCCTGCCTTCCTTATTTCCCTTCTGGATGTTTTATCCCTTTCCCTGCCTTCCTTATTTCCCTTCTGGATATTTTATCCCTTTCCCTGCTTTCCTTGTTTCCCTTCTGGAGTCTTTATCCCTTTCCCTGCCTGCCTTATTTCCCTTCTGGGTGTTTTATCCCTTTCCCTGCTTTCCTTGTTTCCCTTCTGGAGGTTTTATCCCTTTCCCTGCTTTCCTTATTTCCCTTCTGGAGGTTGTGTCCCTTTCCCTGCTGCCTTAACCCCAATACCATTCCTGAGGCTTTTCCTTCCTGGGGCACAAGCTGGATTCAAATTTCTTTCAATTCAAAAGGCACAAATCCCAGCAAATACTGGATTCAACCATTCCAAGGTGGTGATTTACCATTATTTTGATTGCTGTAGGAGAATGTTGAGTTCCCAGATGCTCTGGACTGGTCTCCATGGAAATGGGTAGGAACCTTTGGATTGCACAGTCCCGAGGCTGAGGTTTTGCTTTGCTTTCTGTGCCAGTGAAATTCCTGATGAAAACAGGAATGAGCCCAGCCCAGACTGTCACCTGACAGCAGGAAACGAAAAACAGGAAGAAGGAGCATTACAAAAATGGAAATGATGGTCATTAAAGCACAAAAAGTCCCATCAAAATAAATCTGGACATTGTAAACACCCGACTGCTTCATCCATGCTGCATCCAGAGCTGCTTGTGGCTGGAAAGTGGAAAAGCAGGGAATTACCCAGTGCTGTTAACCATTAACTTCTTCCTGCAGGTTCTGGCTGCAGCCTGCACCTGGTTTTAGGGTTGATCTTCCTGCCAGGGCTACCCAAGCCAATGGAAAGGCTGGATGGGCACCAGGGATGCAGGTGGCCACGAGCTGTGTTTGCAATGGCAACCAGGCAACAGAGCAGGGAGCTCCAGGTGGCCCCAGGTGGCTCCAGGTGTCACAGGAGCCACGTGGGAAAGAGGCTGGTCCTGGGAGCTCAGGGTGTAAATGGTCAAGAAGAGATGAGCAGGAGGATAAAAGCAGGCAGAGGGGACATCCCAGAGGCAGCAACAGCACCCAGAGGGATCCCTGGTTCAGCAGAGGTCAGGAAATGAGCAGCAAAGGAAAGGATGGTTCTTCATCAGGGACAGACAAACAGGGATGGGTAAGAGAAAGAGGGGAAATTGAGGCTGGATATTGGGCAGGAATTCTTCCCTGGGAGGTGCCCAGAGCAGCTGGGGCTGCCCCTGGATCCCTGGCAGTTCCCAAGGCCAGGTTGGACATCGGGGCTTGGAGCCTTGCGAGAAACATCAGAAAAAATTGTGAAGCCACAAAGGAATTGCACACCCAGCAGACTTGGGGGAAGGGTCCCCAAAATCTGGGGTGTTTTGTTTGTCAGCTTTGAAAAGACATTTCAGATTTTCTTTCTAGAAAACAAGGAAGTTCCAGCTCCATGGTGGCTTTGTTCCCCTTTGCAGAGGAGAGGGCACTGACCCCCGGGTTGCTCCACTTCCTTCCTCCCTCCCTCAGCTGGAGAAGTTTTGTGATTTTGATGGGTTTTAGACAGCAAAGGAAGGGGGTGGGGGAGAAATGAGAACACCCTGGGCATCATCTCGACAAGTGCATTCCAGGACAGAGCAAACAAAGAGGAAATTAAATTTTCCACTTTTCTTTTATCATCCAAAGCAAAGCGAAATGAATGCGTCAATCCAAAATGAAATTTTCTATGTTTAAGAAGCCTCCCCCAAAAGTGTAATCAGAATTTTTTTTTCTTTTTTGAGAAAAAAAAGATGGATTTGATGGAATCAGGCTCTTTGATCCCCAAATTGTGGCTAAGCAGGGTGGAGTGGCACTTCCATGCTGTGGCTGCAGTTGGGTATTTCCTGCTGGTCCTTGTGCAAACTTTGATGGCTTTGGTAAAAAGGTGGAGAATCCCAGCTGGGGTGGAGCCACAGACATCCCACATCCCCTGGAAAGATGGGAACAGGGCAGATTTTGGCAGGATTTTGGCAGGATTTTGGCAGGATTTGGACAAGATTTTGACAGCATTTTGGCAGGATTTGGACAAAATTTTGACAAGACTTTGGCAGGATTTGGACAAGATTTTTTCAGGATTTGGACAAGATTTTGACAAGATTTTGGCAGGATTTTCATAGGACAGGAGGGAGAGGGGGAACCCCTCCTTGCTCTCCCATCCTGCCACCTCCAGCCAAGCTCTGCTGCATCCCAGGTGCTCCTGCTGGGATAACAGCACAGAAATTCCAGTGGGCTCCAAGCAGCCCCTCCAGGGCATCACCTGCTGTTGAGGCTGCCCTCGGAGGGAGCTCAGAGCTATTTTTGGAGCTGCTCGAGGGCAGGGAGGATTAAGGAGCCCCAAATGCACAAGAGAGAGCTTGGATTTGCTCAGCCACAAACTCTGCCCCAGCTGGGGAAATGAAGAGCCAAGCTGGAGCCCCTGGGGAATTAAGTGTAAGGGAAAAAATCCCTCCCTGTGAGGGTGGGCAGGCCCTGGCACAGGTGCCCAGAGCAGCTGTGGCACCTCTGGATCCCTGGCAGTGCCCAAGGCCAGACTGGATGGTCCAGAGCAAGGAAGCTGTGGCACCTCTGGATCCCTGGCAGTGCCCAAGGCCAGGCTGGATGGTCCAGAGCAACGTGCTCACAGCTGGCAGCACTGGGGACAATAATGACATTTATCCTTCATGGCTTTTCCCAGTATTTATTCCCTGGCTTTTCTTCTGGAGCAGAAAGAACTCTGAGGTGGAGGGTTTGTGCCTGGAAAATGTCCTTTCTGCCTGTTTTTTGGGGGGTGTTTCTTGAATCCAAACTGGCTCTCCCTTCTCATTGAAATGTTGTAAATCTCACC